TCTACTTATTTTATCTAGAATAATGCATTCCTCCTAGGACTTGTGTTTTAAAATTAAATAATTATGATATTTATATTTATACATATATGTATAAGAAAACTTTTTATTTTACGTATAGGCCTAAATCTGAATTGTAAGGCATCCCTCCACTTATCTTGAGCCATTTCGACCACTGAATACTAATGAGTTATGACTCATAAATTATGAGGAACGATGTATTCAATTTTCAAGCTTTTTGACCTGGCAAAAAACTTTTTATTGATATTAATGTAGAAGAAAATTAGCAAAATTGAAAACTTCAAATGTCTATAAATAGCTCAAAAAAAATATATTGAAAATCACATCATGTATAGAAACTAGAAAGTAATAAAATTAACATTTGGTGAAAATGTTAAGTATCTACGGTTATTTGTTTTTGAATTGCAACAAAATAAGAACTACGTTATAATTTACTAGTGAATATCAAATGTAAACATTCAAACTTTAAACTTTTACAATAAGCTAAACAAATGTAATTTTCTACAAATTCACAGCCTTACTACATACTTAGTTACTTTTCAACGGCCAACAGACATGGTATTCAAAGAATACATTTTTAAGTTTTAAATTTTTAACAGAATAATTTTCCGCACTGACCATGTTTGTGTCAAGGGGCAATATATAGGCAATATGCAATATACATTGCAGCTGCCAGTGTCCTTCGGGCTATAGTCCACGGTTTTCTACTATAGGTATACTATAACTGTGGGTTAGTCATACATTCGTAAAGTCATAAATTATGATTATGAAAGGGTGAGTGCTGTTGTGTACTTACATACGGATTAGGTATATGGGCGCCGGCTATATCTATGAACACGCTGCAGGTGCACATATTGTCATGTCAACGGCACCGCCGAACAAAATAAAAAGCATTTTTTTTTACTTAAAACACGCTTCACAAAACTCTTAGGCGTCATAGAGTGGTCTGATTTCATTATTATTTTTTTTTTTTGTTGGAAAGAGTTATTTTCTATAGAACTTACAGCGTAATGGACTTTGATTCTTGACTTACATTCCCTATAAAATAATAATTAAAAACCAACGTGGGCCATAACCCCTCCACGGTTCTAGAATTCTTCTATAGACAATTGCCGTACAAATTATTATTTACATCATTCATATTCAATATATCTATTATATTTATCAAGGAAACAGAATATAATACACAGCCATAACAAGCAACAATCACACGTAAAATATTAGGTACTATACTAGTCATATTAATCTATCACCACATTTTTACGGAAATCGTAACAATTCCTATTGTCCGTGTTTATTACACATATTATCAGAAATACTGAAAGATTGATTAAATAAACATTATATTTAATCAATGACTGTAGCTAGTGCAGGTATAAGCACCAGTGTACGGTGTACCAAATGAACAAAATTGCATCTAATTTATTTTTCATGGTAAAATAAAATATTGGGTACAATTTTAACATTTTAGAATAAAATTATATTTAATTGGTACTCACTTGATGAGGACTTGATTAATTAGAACTTAGCAGATTTTTTGCCGTTTAAGTTTCGCAATGGCGTAGCGCGAAACTTAGAGGCCCTAGACTTTATATAATTATATGTATAGGAAGTGACGCTCCCTTAAACAGAAATATAATTGACGCTAGAATAGCTGGGCAATACATTATAATATAATGTAGGTATTTGTATAAAATACGTTGTATAACTTTTAGAGCTTTCATTTGACCAAAAAAAGTTTTTATCAGTGATTTTTTTTTTAATGTCATGATTAAAGTGCTGTGGTCTGTGCCCCCCTTTCACTCAGCAACTTCGACTTATCTGCAGAAGGGCTCTGGCATAAAACCTAAATACGCCACTGCTCTTCATTGTCTAAGTTCTCCCAACACCACACGGGAGTGGGCATTGAATCTTTTTAGTTCAGCAGTAAAGTAGCAAAATCTGAAAAATTCCCTAAAAAAATTCATATCTTCAGAAATAAATTAAGATCAGTAGTTTTATTCAAACACCAGCCCCCCTCCTTCGGTGGTGTATCTAGGGAGACAATAGCGCGTCAATCCCATTCTCATTAGTCATTGGCCATGTTTTGGTATAAATTTTATATACCTAATAAAAGGCAAAGTACCATTATTTTTCTGAAAACGATTTTAAAGAAATATTTTGGGTACCTATTATCAATTATTTGTAGAGGTTATTATGGTTACTGCCTACGGGATATTGTAATGAAGACCTAGTATAAGGTATTTGATATAAAATTCTGATTTACTTTCTTTAGCCCCCCCCCCCCCCCAAGAAAAATCCTAGGTACGCCACTTAATTACTTGATGTTGTTTTAGTACAATATGTATATTGATAGATTTTTTTTCATAGCATTAGATACTATAATGATGGGTTAAAAAGTACCTAAAAAATAAATAACGCCCTAAAAAAATCACTTAAACATCAAAAACCTCGAAAAATGTCACAACAAAAGTTTGTTGTTGGTCTAAATGTGTAATATGTACTTGAAACGGCTGAAACACATTTATATATCTTGGAAAACATCGTATCAAGCATGAAGCATTCTAAAAAAACTCGAAGTCCCAACCCTAGTTATAAGTATTACGTAAAACATTTTTCTCGAGTTTCGTAGATTAGATTATTAACCCGATAAATCGATTATAATAAAGTGACTAGGTGATAACGTTTCACTCGACCGAATGTGCAATTGTTTAGTATAGTATAAATGTATAATATGGAATTAATAACTTAAATAATCAAAGCCATCGTTATATGTGCATGAAAAAAACTAAGGAAAGCGCGGTCGCGTGTTTAGTGCTTGTCAAAATCTAAAAATCGAAGTATAAATTACTTGTCATATAGGTGTATACATTTTTATAAACTTATTCAAGTGACTCGGGCAAACGTATCATTCCCTCATATATAATGATATAAGATACATTATAAATTTAGCTTCAGTGATATTCGTAAATTATAATATAAAAAATTATTATGTTGGTATTATAATATATTTATGTACACTGCACACAATACAATAACATACATAATATTATAAAACATAAATTTATAATCCACACAGCGCATAGTATACACTATACACATATAATATAAATTATGCTGTATATTGTATTATTGTTGTCGTTTTATATTTGTAATTTCAAATACACTCTACCACTGCAAGTGTGTATTTTTTTATTATACCGTGTTCGTCGTATCTATAAGAAATCAGCAAAAAACGACCTAATACACATATACAGGTGGATTCACCAAGCAAGCACACCCCCCATTATTTTAATAATGAATTTATTCGAATTCCGATTTTTAGAATTTTCAAATATACCTACTTTGAATCCTCCATTATCAAATTCTTGAGATATTTCGAATTCGTACTACTAAAGAGTTGGTATTAAGTGGAAATACAAACTTTTGTAAATATTTTGTTTTTCAAGCGAGATTCACCCTTTTATTACAAATTATTTATTACGCATAGTAGATAATTAATTAAAAATGTTGGCGTAAATAAGTCAAAATTCGAATGAGTAGTTTAAAAATGGTTTACATGTACAAAAATAATACAAAATGTTTACCTAATGGTTAATATTGAACCTAGTGTTTATTTTGCTTTGATCAATTTTAAAAACTATAAATGTTGAGGGATTAATATTAATCAGCAAATGGCAATTATACTAAATGCCCACTAAAATGTTCAATCATATCCATATTGATATTCGGAAGATGTGTACGGTGTACCTCATATCTTCCAAATCCATAATCATGGACCTATAATTATCATTATTATATAATATAAATATAATGTATATATCCTCAAATTTTGATTATGATACGTCAAGATGTGCAGAAAAATAAATCATACCTACACTAAATAATGACAGTTAAAAAGCGTGGTTCTTCTTTACAAGACAGAAGTTTGTAAAGCATGACACCTAGAGCACTCCTTAAGCAGTACTAAAAATCTCAAGAATTTAATCTTTATGAAAATTTAAAAATTCCAAAAATCAGATTTTGAATTACTCATAACTGTATTACTGAAGATGGAAAAGAGGATGAGTATGTTGGTGAATCACCCTGTATAATATATATCTGTACGTTCCTATATAATATAACAGCGTTTCCCTAAGTGTGTTCGGCGGAACCTTAGGGTTCCGTGGGACTATGTCAAGGGTTCCGCCAGATGTAAGAGATTATTGAGAAAATTATGCTTTTTTAATGTTTGTTATTTAGAATATTTTTGATTGAATATTTTTTTTTTTAAACTAAGTTTAATAATGAAAAGTCATTAACAGTATCATTAAAATATTATTTAGACTTGAGAGTTTAGAGAATTGATTTTCCATTTTTAAGGGTGCCGTGGTCGTAAAAGTTTGGGAACCGCTGTAATATAATATATTAATATAATGTATACAGGTAGATCGCCTACTCAAACTACTAGTATAGACCGTATAGTATGCGATGTCATTTAATTCGGTCGTTTCACGAGAGTTGGCCGGCCCGAGGTCGTCCGACGTAAATAAAAAAGAAAGAAAACCTCAAGAGACCGAGGACGGAATCGACAATAATAATAATAATAATAATAAAAAGCGGCGTCAGGTGTGCGGTACAATGGCCGTGCAGGTGTGAAACGCAATATTATCATTGGAGGTACAACTGCCTTACACACATTGTTCTGCGGCCGTACTGTGCGACCAGCAGAGATAGTGGGCAAGGAGTATTAATACACGTTGATAGTGACTAGTGAGTAGTGAGACGGCTGTGGACAGCAGCGAGCCTGCCACAGGTGAGTAAAAAACGGACAGTGGAAACGGGCGGCGTAGAAGAATAGAATAGCCTGCTGATGCCTTGCCGTCTTGGCGCGCTCCCGTCCGGTTTGGCCGCAGAGTAATATTATTTACTCTATGGGTTTGGCACGCTGCTCCCTCGGTTAGCGCTCTCTACCGACAAACCGGACGGTTCGTTTAGAGTGGTACCACTACAGTCTACAGCCACCGCGGGGCGCCGAACTCACGTCTGAGCCGACGACCACAACCACCACCACCGCAAAGGCGCCACCACCGCCTTCACCGCTCGTTCGCCAGGCACCAGTACGTGCGGCAGCGGCTGTCCATCACTCCATCTGATCGCGAACGAAATATTTTTTTGTTTTTTCCCCGAAAGGACAATAATAATACGCGGCCGCGGTACGTATACACCAACACACTCGCAATAAAAAAATATACATACATACCTACTCCTGCACGAATAATATATTACGTTCCTTTATCTCTTCTCCACGTTTTTCTCCTTTTTGTTATTGTTTGTTTTTTTTTTTACGTTCCCGGACGCGTGAAAAAAGTATATTATTATCATCTGCTGCTCGCACCACCACCACCACCACAGTAGCAATAATAATAATAATAATAATAATAATAATAGTAAGATTAATAATATTGTTGTTTGTTTAATAGAATATCAGATATTATTGTTTGTTACACATACTCTGACGCCGCTGTCGTGTGCACAGTAATATCAAGTTTCTAACGTGTGTCGTCGTCCGCGGTCCATTCGTCATAGCAGGTATCATCACTGTCGTCTCCGCCGCCGCCGCCTCCTCACTCATCAACCGATACAGCCGCCAGGACAATACAATAATAACTAATACCTACGTCGTTCATTTGTGTTCACTGTTTAAAATCTCCGTCGCACCAACCACTTCTTCGGGACAACGTGTGCCCTCGTGTAAACGGACCTTTCGCGAACCTGACATGGGCCACGACCACGTCGTTCGTCCGACCTCTCGGGATGTAGTCCCCCTCGCTTGATTTAGTCAATATATCGTCGTGATCCTCGCGACCAGCAGTTGTCGATGCTCACAATGGCTTGCCTGAACGTGTTGAAACAGGAGATCAAAGTGATCGAGTCGACGTTCCCCAAAAACCATGACCGATTCCAGGTGCATACAGCCACTGTTGACGAGGTAATATGCAAGTTCGTTGGCCCCACTGGGCGACAGTTCGAGATCATCGGTAACATCACGGTAAGTATCCCTGAAATGACTAAACTTCATGCATGTTCAGCTGTCTGTCATGTTGTACACTTGTACCTGTCCATTCTTTTTTTTTTTGTTACTCTAAATTGTTTACAGGAGACATATCCCGGCACTCCACCTGTCTGGTTTGCTGATACTGATGACTGTAACGTGACCAATGCTATCGAAAAGCTAGGTCAGACTACTGGACTCAATAATCATGTGAGTACACATATTTGTCTAATACTTAATCGACATACTATTTGTGGGTCTATGCTTTTCTTCATTTATTTCTTTACCAAGATAAACATTTATTGACCCTTCCCAGACTTAATATTTACAACCATCACAAGTCTAACATATGTTTTTACATAAATTGCCAAGGACAACTAATTATCAAAGTATATTTTGTGGTAACAGGTGAACACAATTTGTTCTTGTACTATAAATACGTAATACCTATTTACTTTTAGAGTTAATATTGAACAATAATAAATGCTTGTAAAGCAAATAACTATGTACCAGCTTATATATTACAAATTATAATACAAATAAAATATCGAATAACACAATTACATTATTAATGATTGATATTTTGACCAACAATTATCTTTTTATAATTATTACTAATTTGTATAATTTAATTCATTTTATTGTTTTTCCAAAAAAAAATTACCTTTCTACATTTTATATTATAATGTTGACAACTATTTGCATCCTTGTATTATCTTTTAATATTTTATTTAAAAAAACATATTCAAAAAATTGCACTACTTAGGTACTTTATTCAATTATTAGTATTTTGTTTTAGTTTTTTTATATACATATTATACACTGAATACTGTTGTGTTTTCCTGTTAACCAATACACGACATCCCCCAAAAAACATGTAGATGCCTATGAAAATAAATCAAATCATCTGTATAATCAACTTATATAAAGAACACTAAAATGAAACTGACAAACTGAGTATGTTACATTGTATATCTTTGTCAACAAACTAATATTACAATCAATATTTTGATCTGTCTTCTTCTAGTTAATAAAATCTATTTGAATGAATGCCCCCTATGGAAAAAGAGAAAAGCAATATTTTCTATTGTTTTCTTGTTCTTAATAATATTACATAATGAAAATATAGCAGTGTATTATTTTGAAATAAACTGGTATTAAACATTTAAAAAGTATATTGTAAATCATTTATTATAATGTAGTTCACATTTTGTAGAAAATTAAAAAGAAATTAAATTTATATTAGTGTCAATTATAGAAACATTTAAGCGTAGTCTTCACATCTATTTTCACGAGTATTTTCATCAATTTTTTGATGAAACTTTCACTAATATCTTATTGACTAGAATAGTTATTGCAGCTGTACCAACTGTTATATATTTTCAAACCACATAGTCTTACACACATTGGTAAACTATCCAGTTAAATCATTATTACTATTTATTTGATTTGATTTGATTCAGATGGCTTTTTTTTTGTACTCTCAAGACTGCATTAAAATGTTAATCTAAAAATAAATGTTTGTAAATACCAGTTGATTGAAATTATAGCAATTTATCAGTTATAAGTAATTTATAAATTATATACTATACTATAATAAATTAGGGATGTGTCAAACTAAAATTGTTATTAACTGGAATCTTATTCAAACTTTTAAAAAACAATAAAAAATTCATTTTGCTGTTATACTCAAACTGTTATAAATGTTTGAACTTCAAAACTCTCAAACATAAATTTTGAACTGTTGAAATTTCTTAAAGTGAGCGGATTAGTGAGTTGAATCCTTAATAATTCTTAATGTAAAACATATCTTTATATAAGTGTCCATTATACTACCTATTATAGTTTATTTTATTTATATTTATTTACATAGTATTATGTCCCTATATTTATATTTTAAATCTTTCAAGGTATCTTACAATCATAAAATGCAATTTTTTCCATAGGTCATTAACCAAGTTGGAATATTGGTTAGTGAACTGTGCCGTACATACTGTTTATCTGAACCGTCCGAGTTACAAAGACTGATACAAATGCCCTCCAGTTCTGGGGCATCAACTTCTACCTCCTGCTCTAGTAAACTTACAGATGAAGAAGATGATGATGATGATGACGAAGAAGAAGTTGAAGAATATATTCAACTTGAAATGGAAGAATCTACCCCTGAATCTACCAAAAAACAGGTCAGTAGTGTACATTGTGTTGTATATTATAAATACGTTTTATTTTATCAATTTTTTAATCTTGATTATGGGAAATTAAGGTTGATGATATGGAAATTCAACACTTGGAAACTTTAGAAAGATTACGTCAAAACCAACGACAGGATTACTTAAAAGGGGCTGTAACTGGATCTGTTCAAGCTACTGATCGTCTTATGAAAGAGCTTAGAGATATATACAGATCTGATAGTTTCAAAAAAGGTAATGAATATTACCTACTAAATTAAGTAATTTATTTAAAAAAAGTGTTACACCAATTTAATTTTGTCCCACAAATATTTAACTTAAGTTATGCATGTGTGTTTTGCTGAAAAGGTTAGTTATGAAATTAAGTATTTTTATTTAAAATGGTATAGGGAAACATTGACAATTGAAAGCTTTAACTGGCAACATTAACGTAAAACACTAAAACAAAGTAATTATTGATAAGTAACGTTACAGTGTCTACAAAGAATATTGGGTATTCTTGTAATGTTTGCAGTCTACTGCACATTACTATATGTCATATGCTGTCTACCACTTGTTTTTTTTATATTTAATTAAAGTATCAAAAAATATATGAGAATTATTATCAAAATGTATTCATTATGTATTATAAAATGATTTGATGTATCTTAGAAAACATTCAAATGAGTCGATCTTTATCATTCTTCAACCATTTAGCAGAGGTTAAGTATGAGTATCAATTTGAATAAGTCAATTTTCCTTTAAAAATGTATAATAGTATTTTCCTCTGACTGAATAATTCAATTGACATTTTTGGCCAACAATTACCATGATTAACATCTTTGATTGTGAGGATGCCTGGGAAATATTTGTTTCCTCTCAGGCCCGTGTGCAACAAAGAATGCTTTCATCTAAAATTGTTTTTTTTTTTATGATTTTTGATTAGTCTTAGAATAAAATTACCTATTACAATAATTAAAGAGAATAATGCTTTATTACAATAATTAAAGAGAATAATGCTTTTGAAGGTATGACATATTGGTTTTATTTTATTATTATTTGACTTTAATTTCGACTTTCAAAAAAAAAAAAAATTGTAAACTTAAGTGATGTTTAAATTGTTTTGAAACAATATTTAGAAAAATTTAAAGGTCATTCCCTTTAAAAATATTTTTAACTCTACCTATTTTGTAATGGGAAATTTTGCCCTAAAATTATTCAAAATTAAAAAATAAATTATTCTCCGTAAATGTGTTTTGTCTACGTTACGCATGGGGCAGAGGGAAAACAAACAAGCATTGGCTTGATGGAAATGACTTGGAATATGTGTGGTAAACGAAAAGTGTGCGGTAGACTGCATATGACAAGAATACCCAATATTGTTATGTTGTTTAGACTAAATTGTTCATTGTGTCACTGTTAAATTTGAATTCAATGATTTGGTGTTGAAAATATAGGTTTATTTGTTGAAAATATAGGTTTATTTGTTGAATTATATTTATATTAAATAATAATATATTATGTCCATCATTTTGATCATTATGCTGACTTGCATGATCTTGGCGTGGAGTTAAATATGATGTAAAATATACTAATTTTATACTTCAGTAAATTTTTTTAATTTGTCTGTGTTTTTAAGGAATTGAATTATATATTTAAGTTTGAGGTTGTTAGTTCTTTAGTTTGGTGATTATATTAATCGTCCTAGGATGAGTCCAAAGTGACACAATAATATTTGATTGTTTACTTATTATTCAATTTTACATAGTAGTTATTGTTTAGATTTAATGACGTTAAACACATTATGTACAGTTAATTCTCAATATAAAATGAAGTAACATTCTATGTACATTATAACAAATCAAACAGCAATGTCATAATAAATTTATGTAAAAACCAAACTTTAAGCCACTGGTAATGTGTGTAGTATAAACTTTATTTGATGCACAATCTAGAGATATTAATTAACATTAAAAATATGTTAAATTGTATGAAATAGAGCCAATAAGTTGTAACTTGAAATGGACAAAAACTATGAAATAATATACCATATCTTTTTAATTATAAGATAAATATGTTGTATGTAACTAATAAATGATAAAAATTTTCAGGAATGTATAGTGTGGAACTAGTTTGTGACAGCATCTATGAGTGGAACATAAAATTAATGACAGTTGATCCAGATTCTTCTTTATACCATGATTTGCAAAAGTTAAAGGAGAAAGAAGGAAAAGACTTTGTGCTATTAAATATTACATTCAAAGAGACATATCCCTTTGAGCCACCGTTTGTGCGCGTAGTTCATCCCATCATACAGGGGGGCTATGTCCTAGTTGGGGGTGCAATATGCATGGAATTGTTGACCAAACAAGGGTGGAGCTCAGCTTACACTGTTGAAGCAGTGATTATGCAAATTGCAGCTACTTTGGTTAAAGGAAAAGCAAGAATACAGTTTGGTGTTCCAAAGGCAATGAACCAGGTATCCCAAGCAACATATCCAGTAGTATGTGAAAATCTATTTATAATTAATACAATTAAACAATATTGATGAACAACCATATTTAATAATTATTATTTTTATTTTAGGGTCAGTACTCTCTAGCCAGAGCACAGCAATCTTTTAAATCTCTTGTGCAAATACATGAAAAAAATGGTAAATAATTTTAACCATAAAAATAGTTTTTATTTTTTGTAGTATAAAAATATATTATTTATAATGTTTATTCTGAATACAAAAACTGATGATGTTTTCGTTTTTTTTCAGGTTGGTTTACCCCTCCTAAAGAAGATGGTTAAACAACAGTCTAACACAACCTAAACTTTTCATTCCTAAAAAACCTAATAAAGTACATGTCTCATTTGTAAAAAAAAAAATACGTCGTATCTTGTTTACAGTATAATATTTACGTTACTTTTATTATTTTGTTTAGTTTCTTTGTATAATTCTAGAAAATATAACTTTCATACTTTTCAATTTGGTAACCTAATTCTATCCAAGTTTTGAATACTGTTTCGGCTGCCGGCTGGGCTATTTTACCCGTGACATTATTTTACTGACACAAGTCAACATAAATACATGGGTTATTATAATATATTTTTTTTTAATACTGATTCTTAAATTTTTTATGAGTTCAGAGTTCAATTTTTTTGTGTATTTATTAAATTGTGATTAATTTTGATGTTACTAATTACGGTTTTTTTATGTATCAATAAATGACACACATCAAATGTGTTTAAAGGAATTTTGTGCGTTGATATCTGCTTATTCTACTATAGTCATATTATTAAAACACCACTTTGTAAAAATATATATATATATATGATTATATACAAATGATACAATTTCTGATAAGTAAGGTACATATACATATATTTTTATGTTGCAATGCTCAAAAAAAAATCCCTAACTGCTTATTTAGTTTAATATGAACGATAAATGGCGTTATGATTTGTGTATTACTTCCTAGATTAATGAAAGAGTACATAATATTCAAAAATACATTATTTTTTTTGTAAGACTTAGTGTTAAGTATATTTATTGTATAGCCTAATTCAATTTTGTATAATTTTATCGGTAATCGGAAGAAATAGTAAGAATTTATGCGTGTACTGTACTTAGGAACAATATTATAATTTGGGGATTTATTTCTTTGATATTTTATCTTGTCTAAAGTTTATACCACAACCGTATTATGAGAGTTGTTTTACAGTATCTGCATGTTAAAAAAATGTAAAGTATAATCTGTACATATTTATTATTAAGAGACTGCATCACTCGGACATCAGTCCGTCTTATGAATGAACTGTAATTATTTTCTATACAGTTTGCCGTAATATAACATAATGATATTGTTTTATTAACAAATAATTTAGTTAAATTGAATACCTACAATTCTATTTACGATTTTTAAACAGTACCTATTTGTGTAAGTTGTTACTCAGGTTATACTTGCCTACTAATAGATTTATAGACTTTTTTTCGTTATAACCGACGACACCGCGGGATCTGCTTTGGCATTGCTTCTGCGGAGCCGCCATTGTAATAGTTTTATAGACTATAGTAACACAAATGGACTTTGCCATTTGCAGTAATAATGACTTATGGTGTTAACTTATGTTTTGGCTAAAGTTTGATGTCATCAAACGATGACCTCTTTATCGTGCTCTAATGTACATTGTAAATGTTTATATTATATTTTTAATCAATGATATTAATATATTATACCTGCTTGATACATTAAATTTAAATACTTACTAAAACATTCATTTTGGAGAGACAGGTTTAAATAAGTAATTCTGTAATTCTCACTATTTAGGGTTTGTGGTTACCCTACTTTGAACTTAAAAGTTACAAGCACATTGAATTGAACTACCAAAAATAATGTGATGCCCCGTCCTTGCCATCTAGTGGTTATGGTAGGTTTCCCCAGGCCTGTGAAAAATGTTTGAAACTGTAATAGTTTAAATATAAGTATCGTACTAGTATCAAAAGTATTGCAGTTACACAATGCTTAAAAATATTTGAAACCGTGGAAATAAGTATCTGAAAAAAATAAAATATTTCTTAAGAATATTTTATTGACACATTATATTTTTAAAAAAAATGTCAAGTTAAACTTTACTATAATATCAAACAATAAAATAATAAAGATTAAGACAAGTTTAAGTACAAAATATTTAAATTTTAGTTTAAAAAAGTTTATCAATATCACCTAAAATAATTTCTTTATAATCATACACAACACGTCTTGAATTCTGACTTTTATTAGTTAGGTATCACGAGAGCTAAAATGTATATGCAATAAAAAATGAGAAAATATGTATTTGATTAATTAAAAATATGATCCAAAATACAAAAAACTACTTTTTTTAATTCTAAAATATTATAAATTATTAATATTATTCAAAAGTGCCTATTATACATGAAATGTGTTGCGGTGTTTCAAACCTTTTGTTGGATCTTGGTATACTATTATATATGCTGAAGCTGTTCAACATCACATTTTTTTATTTAGAAATTTCCCAAGGAGTTCGATTGCAATAAAAATCTTTAGATTAGTTCCATTTAAAGTTTCACACAGTATAAACAGATTATTTGGTCCTTGATTTTATTTTTAATAATCTAAAACGCCATGGAATTGTTTGTTGTCTTTTTCAGCAGTTGTTCTTTTATTTTGGCATAGTTAGATTTTGATGTTTCTAACAATTTCTATACTTTTATCATGTGAAAGTGATTCATTTTTTAGTTTGAGAATTGAATGAGTGATGAACTAATATACATTTATGGTACCCATGTCACTGACGTCAGTACACACTAATAATTAATACTATAATACGTAATTTATTATGTGCAACGGATTTAAAATCGAGCTTGTTCATAAAAGGAACCGATATTATACATTTATATATTAGGTATTAATACTTCAGTAGGTACCTACGTCTTATGCTTATAGTACCTACTTGCCACTGTAAAAAATGCTAACTAAAAAGATTCTACTCACTATTATTTAGCAGCTTACTATTGCCTCTAGAGGCTCGAATAGTAGATCTTATAGATAACTACATAGTGCATAGGCATAGGCCGTAGAGTGATCAAATATATTAGAAGGAGGGGGGACTGGAGCCCCACTAAAAAATTTTCAATGTGGAGTTTCGTGGGGTGCTTATTGCTTTGACACTCCACACCCCCTTTTCACCGATTTATGTTAGTTAAATTCATTTGAAAAAAAGGTAGATATCTTAAATATTTTCAAATTGTTAGAATATCAAAAATATTACTATGATGTACGTAAATAAAATGCTAATTTCAGCATTTGGTGAAAATTTCAAGTAACTATACAGTCTACGGTTATTCGCTTTTAAATTACAACAAAATATCAACAATCGATTCAAGAGAAATAGTTGATTTAAGGGTGAATATTCAATGTCGAAAAAATTGAATTTCAAACGCTTTTATAAAATTAGAGCGATGTTCAGGTCAACTTTGTTTTTGATATATGTAGAAACACGTATGTCGAATCTTGTTTTAAATTTTTATATTTTGAGGTTTCTAACTCGTGAAGTTAGGTATTCAATATTTTCCAACATTTTGACTAAGTGAAAATATCAACATATAAATAGTAGGTATAACAAAAGCTAAAATTAGGTACAAAATAAATTTAAAAATGTCGTAATATGTTTTTTTTTATTGATCTAAAGCCCGGCAACTATGGTCATTATAGCTACGGTTGGTTTGGAACACGGATACTCGTATGTATGTATTTTGTTGCTAAAAATCCCTGGTGGTCTTTCATCCGGGAGCTAGCAACTCCGGCCGGTGGGTACACTCAGACTGTGAATGCCACTAAGTGTCGTTACATATGTCTAAAATAGCTCAAAAAGCATAAAAAAAATTAGTAAAAATTTCAACTAGGTATATCTACGGTTTTTTGTTTTCAGTTACCTACACCAAAAAATCAATAGGTATTGTTTTAGTCAAAAACTTATTGTGGTAATAGCTAATAACCTATTATAATTTGGTACCTATTGTGTGTACAAATTACCGAAGGTTCTTTTTTTCTTTTTCCGTTCTGGTGTAGCGTGATGTGAAACACGATTATGATAAATAATTTCAAAAGTGATAATATTATAAAGAAAATAGTGGTTATTATATTGTCATTGGCTACGTCAAGTTCAATAGGACAAGTACAATTATTACATTTACCTAAACGAAATTGACAATAATAATTCTGGAGGGGGGGCTAATATCCACACTGGGGAACGCTAAGCCCCCAATCCCCCTCCCTTAGAAAGCTTATGAACCAGCGGCGTAACCGGGGTTATTAAATGGGGGAGGAGAGGTTAAGTATAAACTAAACTAGGTTTTTACAGTTTAAGGATACATATAAATATATAGTACATTTATTAGAGGAAAAACCACTGAAAGGGGGGGGGGTGTCTAAATAAAAAATTTCGGTAATAAGGTAATATTGTGGTAATATTTATTGAGCTACAAGTTCATAATATTTTTTTCCAGAGGGAGGCAAGTGCCCTGTCTCGCTCCCCCCCCCCCCACAATGGCGCCCATGAACATGATTGATCAAATATTTTTAAACGATACTTAGTGGAACCACTATATTATTAATGTTTAATTAAAATAATATTTTTATATCACAATTTAAAACAACATATTATGCCAATGGTTCTTTTAATGGAATAGAATACATTTTAAATGAACCTACATTCAAATTTCAAATTATTGTTTGAAAGGTAATTATTTAGTTTTTATTATTATTTTTATTATTTGTATTATTTGACGTACCTAGGTATCGATCGACGATCATTCAAAACATTTTTATTTTTATTTTATAATATTTTAAATATTGTATCCATAAAGTGAATTTTGTAAAAACTCCTCCTAATAATTATATTTACAATATCATCAAAATATTATAGACATGTAACATTTTATTTCGGGAGTTAAATTTTTACAAAATTATGCATAATATAAAACAAAATATTATTGTCTATGTTTGAAATTTATAGTACCATATAACATAAAAGAAAGTTAAATTGTATTCGATATATTATATTTTAAACTTTGAACATTTTAATTGAATGTTTCTTTAGTATCTACTTGATTCTTAATTTTTTAAATGTCACAAGTTTACTTACTTGTACTAGTTGTACTATACTTAAGTATATATTTGTAATTCAATATTAATAATGTGGTAATTACACTAAACCATAATTGTTTAATTATTTTCAAGTGGTTGTGAGAACCTACCTAATTTTCTCGTCTCGGGATATTTTATTCATAAAGTCGGGAATTTTTTTCATATTACCACTAGGCCAAGTCGGTTTTTGAGTATCTAAGAAACCCCTTTTAATCTCCATAATATTAATATTCGTTCTTTATATTTATAAATGTTTATGATACCTATATCTTATCTGATACTTTTCTTCGGACCCCACCACTAAAATATTATAAATGTGCACACCTTCCATAACCCCATCAAGGTCTAGTCGAGGCATTAAGGTCGTATGTGTAATTAAAAACACGGATCATGTATTTATGTATAATAATTATTAATCAAAAATAATATTGCATTTATCTAACTTGTCTATGACAGAATTGAACACTTCCAGGGTGTCAGCTACTTCTGTGTATGTTTGACACTTGACTTTTTAAGGACTACAACAGTTATTAACCAATGATGACCTTTTTAAGCCATTCAGGTAATATTAAAACCAAAATTATTGCTGTACTTACAATTTATTGTACAATAATGTGTATATGTTATTCAAATTAGGTTTTCGAGTAGCCATATTACAACTGACTGTAACAGCCGACAAACCATCAAATGTGGCTGTCGCTGTGGAACGAATACAGAAATCAAAGATTAGTGGTTGCTCATTAGCCATACTGCCCGAATGTTTTAATGCACCATATGACACTGGTATAATAATATAACATTATAGAAAAAAATATAAGTCATATTTTTTTATCCAAAAATTAAGTAGGTTTATATTTTGTTGTGTATTACCAGTGTAAATCAATTAAATAACCAACCTAGGTTTAAATGTATGTAGGTATGTCATTTGGAAATTATCATAAAATATTTTCATAATTTTAATTGTACCTACACAATCATTAAAATTTCTTAAATTGTGTAATACAAATATTATAAAATTATGATTTTTTTTTATTATCACTATACCTAGGTACCAAATTTGTAATTTCATAACCTTGTGTTTCAAATTGTAATACAGCTTTCAAAATAATTATTTCAGACAAAACATAAAGACATACATTTTTAACTTTAAAATAATTTTAAAAAGTAACTTATATTTTATACCAATCTAGGTACTTTATTATATTTACCAACATTTGTTTGATTAATAATTGTTATAAAATCTCTACACAATAAGAAAAAATAAAAAATAAATATTAATCAATGCACTTTTACATTTTGATGCAGTGCTAGAATTAGAAAAATTTAAGAAGATGTACTCTGTTTATTTACACAAAATTAGAGTCCCCTTAACTTTCTATACATCGTTGTAGCAAACAAAATACTAAAATTCTTAATAAATAGTTGAGGTACTCTGTCCCCCTGCACCCCACAATTCAACTGTCTATTTGGCAATATGAAACATTAATTATTATTATTATATTTTGTAAAGCCTAGGTAGTTAATTACCTAAATTACACTGGATATTTTCAAATATTCATATACATAGAGATTAATAAAGATAATATTTGTATGAGATTTAGTGTTGGTATTACTCTATAATTTTTTGTTTTTAGCCTTGTTCAGACAATATGCTGAAGTCATTCCTGGGGGCCAAACATGTAATGCTCTGTCTCAAGCTGCCAAATCAAATCAAATATACATTGTTGGTGGTTCAATCCCAGAGATATGTGATGGAAAAGTTTACAACACGTGTACGGTTTGGGATCCTAATGGAGATTTAATAGCCAAACATAGAAAAGTACTATTTATTTATGTTAGAAGATTTCATATTTCAAGTAGCTTCACAGTGCAATTAAACTATGGTGACTGATGAAAAAGTTTGAACTCCTAAAATAAATAATTTTGTCAATGTTATGTTATGTTAATTAATATGTATCAATAGGTAATAATTGAATGATTAATCTGACCGTTAGCAATTATTTCATTATACAATAATGAATACACTTTAGTACCTACCTATTTTATCACCTTTTCATTTTTTGTGAGTGGTCCAATAAAATGCATCAGACTAGGTACTTGTTTAAAATGTAACTTTTTTTAAAACATTTATTTGACTGATGAGTGATTAGAGAAAAAGTATCTCTAACTTTGAAAAACAGTATTGTAAATACAAATAAATACTCCCATTAAAATAATGAATGTTAATAAAAAATGTCACTTATTGCATTTGAATTTTACGCTCATAAAATATATTGAATATTCTATTTAAGTACTAAAATAATAGAATTTATACATGGACACATTTACATTTTACAGGTGCATTTATTTGATGTAAGCATACCTGGTAGTACTTGCTTCAAAGAATCTGATGCCATGTCTGCGGGCAATACACTTAATACTTTTCAGTTTGGAAAATTTAAGATCGGGCTAGGCATTTGTTATGATATACGATTTTCAGAGATGGCAGCATTATATCGAAAACAAGGTTTGTTATCTAGTTGAGTTATAAATATTTGTTAAGGTAGTTATTAATATTATTATAAACAATTGTGGGTTTAAGGATGTGATATGTTAATATACCCTGGTGCCTTTTGTACGGAGATTGGCCCTTTACATTGGAGTTTATTAACTAGATTTAGAGCCATGGAAAATCAAGCATTTGTAGCTGTAGTTTCTCCGGCCAGAGTTACTGATTCTAGTTATGTAGCATGGGGTCATTCAATGATTGTGGATCCATGGGGTAAAGTTTTGTGTGAAGCTACTGAAAAGGATATGGATTTATACATAGATTTTGGTAAATATAGATACTAGGACACTAGGTAGTGTTAATTGTTCTTATAGTAGAAATAGTACCGAATAATTATTCCATGATTTATACGTCGAATAAACACTATCCAGACATTGAAAAACCTATTAAAATTAATTTTTGTTTATCCACCGAATAACTTATGTTATCTGGTGGATAAAATAGATTTAAAAACCGGGTCCTATTCAATTAAAATATATTTAACATGTTGTAGACTTTGGAATACGAGAAAACATAAGGCAGCAAATACCCACAGAATATCAGAGAAGAACTGATATGTATGATACAATTTATATGACAAATAAAATAAATAGTTAGTGTTGATCTGTCTATGAAAACCATTTATTAATGAATTGAACCTAACCGAGTCAATATTTGAAGGTTAGGTTAGGTTAATCAATTGTTACTACTAATGTAATTCAAATTACATGTTTATCAAATGTAATAAATGTATTGAATAACTTTATTTTTAATTTTAAAAAATTAATCTACATTCTAATTGTAAATATTTCATGTAATTTATCTATTGAGACTCAATCAATTTAAAAATACCTATAATATATTATAAAAAGACATTCAGATAATGTTATAAAATATGTACTATTGTTTAATTTTTTTTTTATTAAATAATAAATAAATAGCATTGTAATATGTTTAATATTATTCTGTGGGCATAATTTCAAAAAGTAAAGGTAAATAGATGATAAGTGTTTTGTTAAAAACGATTATATAACTACTGACTGTTAACTAATGTCTAGTAACAAAAAAGTAATTTTGATGCTATTTATTTTGGCTTAGTTGTTCTTCTTAAAAAGTTAAAATAGACACACGCCAGAGCAGCATTTGTTCTACTTGTTTAATGTATTTTAATTTGACCGTACCATTATTGGTGACCTACTAGGAAAACAATTTTAAAGTTATTTTTTGATCACAATGAGCTTATTACATAGTACATACCTAAGAAATAACATAAGTAACTAAAAATATAAATAATTTCAACTCGAGTACTTTTTGATGTATGCATTCATTGCAGTGTTAAATATGTGCATAAAAATATCATACCTGAGTGAAATATAAAATAAAAAAATAGTATGCATAAAGAATACGACAAAGTAGGAAAACAAAATACTTTATTAATTTATAAATATATAAAAATAAAATCAAACGTTTGTCCTAAAGGACTAATAATGACAAACGTCATAACTTAACAATCAACAATTGAATTCTTAATAATAATATTTACAAAAATGCAACTTTTTACAAAATAAAAATAATAGTAAATGCATAGGCCGGACCATAGTAATGATTGATATTATTTTTCAACCTTCATATAAAGTAATATTTTTTAATATTATTTGACTTTTAGTTGATATCAAAACATCACTACACTTTTAACAATCGTTGAAGAATAAAACACTAGTGCCAATAAATATAATTAAATGTTTTATTGTTTTTATACGTTGAAATGTGTGTAGGCCACAACCTTCTTTTTAAATTATCAAAGTTCTCAATATGTAATTAACTAACACTTCATGTTTCATTAAAAATATTGTTGTTTAATAATGCTGTTCAGATGTATCGCCTTGTTGATTTCCAATGTATCGAACAATAGTTTCACCTAAATTTAAAAAAAATATCATACTTATTTAATACATTAAACAATTTTATTTATACAAACTGTATCACGAAGACCAATTTTAAATGTAATATCTATGTAAAAATTGTTAGATATTTATGATATACACTATATAATGTGATGGTCTTAAAAAAAAACCTTTGAAGTTATTGTCATACTTTTACACTGATATAGTTTTCAAGATTAATTCCCTTTTTAGGAATGATAATAATAATTTCATAAAAATGTATACTGTGCAGTTATGTGTTAACATATTGATAAGACTTTAAGAGGATGCCCCTCAACAGAAGACATTTTGTGTTGGTGAGGTTTAGTATTAGAATAAATCGACATCACATATTAAGGTAATCTTTCAACAATATTTAAATTTTTAAGAGTTATGAGTGTGTAAAATATTGCAATCTAAATTCTAATAGCTAAAATTGTTAAAAACACATACAAACACAGATTACATTTCTATGTTTAAGTTTGATCAGACACAATACACGAACGAGTGTAATGTCATCAAAAGTACATTGTTTTAACAAACAAAAATGTATTGCTAAAAAACTTTTGAATACTAATCTGTACAATTGTTATAATATACCGAATAAATCTCGTAGAAAATTCTATTCAATTCTTTTAGTATTTAATACTTAAAAGGTTTTTTTTTCAGGATTTATATATTGTTATAAAATATAACCAAGTTGTCGTATAAGCGTCAATGTTTCCTGATGCCTCCGTTCTTCTGCTCGCTCTTGGTTTGCTGCAATTTTTAATAACGTCTTTTCTTTTTGGTTGGCAATCTCTCTCAGAGTCCTTGTCAACAATGTGTCCTGACTAGTATCAGGCTCTTTAGGTTTAGGAACTACCTTTGGCTGCTTAACAACCTTTCTTAATGTTTTGCCATCATAAACATGAGTGTTAAACTCAGTTTCATATAAATCTGGATAAAAAATTATTAACATTAATGTAATTGATGTAATACCAGTACTCAACGCTTAACTTACTATCAACAAAATGTGCATCACAGTTTGAATTATCACTGTTGTTTAAATTATCGTCTATAACTATGTTATTCATGGATATATCGTTGTTTATTCTATTCTGTTTAAAATTTTTTCTTCTGAATATGGTTTTATATCTTAAACATATAATTTATATTAAATTGACTAAACCAGTATTATTTCCTAACTCACATGCCATAATAATATTGAATTTACCTATTTAGACATTGCTCAGCCGTTCTAGTAATATTTAGTATATTGTTTATAGTATTTGCAATATACTCAAACATTTTTAATTTAGTCCTGAATGTTCTTTCCAGTCCCACTTTGGAAATGTTCTTTCTGTACATTTCCATGAGTAGCTTGGTATCATCATCACCCCATTCATTCATAGATTTCATTGTACATTGACCTAAAAAATCAATAATTTACTGAATGATTTCTTGAGCATTTACAAACATGTCGGATTAATTTTCTTAAAAGTTGAAAATTATGACTAAACCAAAAAACATAAATTCTTGATTGTAGTATGTTACCATTAGTTCCAGAGTTCTGTCCATTATAATCATGGTCTGCTGACACTGAAGCAGTAACATCATTTTGTAATCGTTCCTCTTCATTTAATTTCTTTTCAACATTTGATCTAGACTTTTGTAATATTGAACGTCCAACTTTTCGTTGATTTACTACCGTTTTATACCTAAATAAATTTAGTTCTTCCGTAACATAACACAATACAACTCTACAGTTTAAAAAATACTTATGACTAATATACCTATTTTCACATTGATGAGCACTTCTGATGATGTTTAATTTAGCAGATATTGTTTGTGCTATACACTTGAACATTTCTCTTTTACTTTTAAATTTTTTCATCGGTCCTACTTGAGTAACATTTCGTTTATACATATCCAAAAGAATCTTTGTTTCATATTGACTCCATTCTCGGCAATTTCTTTTACCTGTGTAATTAAACCAATAATTATTTTTTACTTTTAAACATAACCTCTTCAAATGAGACATTTGAATAAAATACACATTTTAGCTGTTTAGAATATGTGTAACATAATTATATTATAACTTTAGGATAGACGTTGTACACTCTTTCAATTTTATTACATTGACTTGCAAACTCTCCCGGGTCTGCTTAAGTATTGCTTGAAAGCTGAAGGGGGATACATGTAATAATTTTGCTTATACCTTATAATTTGATATTTATAATAATATGAATATGCAAATTTAAAAAAACTTAAGGTTTCTTCTTTTAGGTCTGTATAGTCTATAATTTTAAAACAACTCGGGAGCGTTGACATATTTCCTTCAGGTAAACATAATCAGTTAAACTATGGTGATTTCCACTCAAATATAATGGTTACAAGTAGTGCATAGTATTAAATCTATTGTGATATATATTATATTATTATTTTGAAATTATGCATCACTTTTATTGGTTGTATTTTTAAATGTATTTAATGGAAACGTAAAGTAAATAATGTTAAGATGTTCACTGTAGATGACACCAAATAACATAGTTTGTATGATGAATGACAATATTAGTATCATGAATCATGAACCTTGATATTAAATCGCTAGAAATTGCTCAGCTTCACAATTCATTTTTTTTCAGCTATTCCTAACAGTATTAGTTCATAAACAAATCGTAGGCATATTGGTATTTTAATATTTTAATTTTTAAGAATCTTATTTTAAGCTTAATCTTTATTTTTATTTTTTCAGCGTCATAATAAGTAATAAGTGTACTCAAATAAGATATGCAGTAATTGTGTTAAGTAAATAATAATAATTTAATACAATTACGAGATTCTTCAAGAACATCAGTTTCAAGTTGTAGTGGTTCATCTTGAATAATATTATTTTCATATGGCTCAAATGGTTCTTCAATGACGAATATATCTTTAGAGTCTGAAAATTCAAGAAAAAAAAATGTACTTGCTATTTGTCACATAAAATATAATATAATATAAAATAATCAACTTATTTACCAATCTCAGTGTCTCGTTTAACTAGATTTCCATTGCACACGTAATAAGTATCCATAATGGGCATTCATAAATCTGATAGTTAATCGAATATTAATATTACCTATGACAGTATCGGTTTAAATAAAAAAAATTGGAATCTCAATAAAATTTAAAATTTTCTTTAGCGTTATCAAATGAACACTGAAGAGTGAAGATATTTTGTTGGAGTTATCATAGAATAAATTCTGTGGCGCAAACATGTATACATAGATATAATATATTATTATATCATTCTGTGCATGTATATTGTTCTATGATATTATTATCCCGTATCATAATATTATTAAATTTCAGTGATTATGTACAATTCTCCTTAACACCAGCAGCTGCAGCTCCTAGGAGTGTTAACATTTGAGGTTATATTTGAAAAACGTTGCGTTTTCTTATCAGCGGTTTCGATATCCTTGTAAAAATTATTCTCATTAATCTCATTTATTCTAAAAAATTGTATTATTTAGTGTTTTTTTTTTTTTGTTTAATTTTTTCTTTTATCCTTTTTGTTTTTCCGTCCTATAATCCTGTATTAAATTTCTTAGACTAAACTTAGTTTACAACGTTTCATACATCATGAGTAAATTGCTGTTCATTCGAAACATTCGTGGCCTAGACGAACCTTCTCTTAGACAGATTATTAACAGTAAAAATTTACCTTGTGGTACTATAATGTTTAAGTCTGGTGGAGCATGTGCAACGGTTGACTTTATGGAACCGTCTACTGCAGAGTATGCTCTGACACAGCTCAACGGTAAGTGTTTTTTTGAATCCTTAAAAAAAAACAAGTTTGATGTAACTTTCTTTTAAATAATTTACAGGTATGCCTCTCCAAGATCAAACCCTTGCTGTAGAACCCTACAATGGCTTGCACAGTCAAATGGTGAAAAAAGCAAGGTAAGTCATAGTTTTATTAAACTCATTAGGCGTGGTCATCATAAAAGATAAATATATACCTATTATTATAATTACAGTGATAATAATATCCACAAAATAATCAACTGATATGGTTGGTAATTATATCAACCACCCTTTTATAAATTCATATTATGTAATATTTTAAATATGTTAATTTTATTAACTATGATTAACTTTTGATTTATTTCAAAGACTATTTTTAGCATTTAAGTGTCTGTATTATATTGCAATAAAATTATTTATCTACTTATTTCATTATATGGCATGTTTTGTGTATTAGTGTTAGTAAATGTAATTATTCTGAAACTAAAAGATCATATAAATCTTAAAAATTCAGACTTTAAAAATGTCTTTTATGTTAATGCATTCTAATTCTGGTCTTTTATAACATATAAATGAATCAGAAAAAAAGTCTTATGCAAGCATATAAACTGTATGTACCAGGTACATTGTACCATTGTACCAATATTAATCAACAATATCAATTCATCTCATCTGTATATTTTAAATTTATTGAAGTATTAGATGAATATTATACACATTATGCATGTCAAATATTATACATCCACAGAAGTTTGGTTGGGTTTGTAAAATAATCTGGAAATGTAAAAAATTAAAAAATTAAATAATACAATAATAAGAACAAATATTTTGTTTTATCATAAAGTAATAATTTAAAAGCCATTAAATATTAATAATTCTTGAACGTCAATAGTAAAGAAGACATTTATTTAAACTTCAAGTACCTAACATTGAACATTATGTGTCATGCTGTTAGCTTAATGAACATGTTAATACATTTAACCATTGATTATAACTATTCTACTATTATAAATAATTAAATTAAAAATTAAAATTCTGAATTCAGTGGCATGTTAATTAAACTTGAGACTTCATTTGTTTTTATGGACAAACAAATGTTGAATTTTTATGTTCTGGTAATAGGTAGCTACACATTAATTTTCTAATTAATTTCTTTATTACTTTTGTTTGGATAGTACGTTGTTCAATATTTAAACACTACATACTTAAGAAAGTTAATATCTCAAATTCTAATGAATTTGTGTTCTCAAGCACGGTGTAGGAGAGTGTATAATAATTATTTATTTTATAAATTACAGTAGATGTAAGTATTCACCTTAACTTTTAGTCGTTAAACCAATTTAAAATGTTTTATTTAACTGATATTTGAACATGGATTTTGTAACTAAGCACCAGTTAATCAGACCCAGATCAAACCAATGGTGTACTATAAAATTACAATGAGAAGCACCGACTTTTAGCTGATGAAAGAAGTATTAACACTTAACAATTATAAAAATGGTTAACAAGGTGCTTAGTTTACACTTCTTTATCTTATTTTTAAGTCCAAACTTTAAAGTTGATTAAAAACGATTCAATTTATTTATAGTTACAAATGTACAATCCTTTTTTAATTTTTAAGTGGATTTTTAGCTACCTTTTTACTGATCAATTTTTGTGCTTTCCATCTAAAAGATAAAACAATTATAAAAACTCTACATTGTAAATCCTAAATCTAACATGCATATTATTCAACACAAGTCATAAATAAATTTATAAATAACAAATAATTCGAATTGTAGGTATAATATGCATATTTATTATTTATGTGTGATCTGGTTAATTAGACAGTACTACAGTAGACACCATAAGCTTTCTTGTTAAGTGTGTCGAAACCGTGGTGTTTTTAGAACAAGAACATGTCTTATACAAAAAGCTCTCTCGCCCTGTAGAATTGTTGTATTTCATTAATTTTTTTAAAATTTAATATGAGAATATTTTCAAGTCGGGTCAAAGCCTGATTTTCAAAATTTTATTTGTAGAAACTAAAATAAACATTTGAAATGTGCACAATATTTTTTATTTTTCAAGTGTTTTTCTAGCACTATTTAAAGTGAAATTGAAATTGAAATTTGGGCTTAGATTCGACCTGAAAAAAGTTCATATCTTTAAGATACAAAAAAAATAATCATAATCTGACATATCTACGAGGCATGAGAGTTTTTCCCTGTAAAGTCATTTTTGTTGATATAATACACCGTATGAAACTAACCTTAGTAGGCATTTGACAGTAAATTTTGTGAATAAGTATTATAATTATGGTTGCAAAAAAAAATGTAAAATATAATTTTCTAATTTTGTAGAAATGCGGAAAATTTGAAAAACTTGCTTCGACACCATAAGATGACGTCACGTGGGCTTTTATTGTATCCGCCTTACAAACGTACTTGGTAAATTATACGTTGACAATACAACATTTTACTCAGTTATTTCTAAAATTAGAGTGAATTTACTTTTTATAAAATGTAAAGGCAAGAATACTAAAAATACCCAATAGGGCATCTTGAAGGATTTTATTGATATTATTTTAAAATAAATTGTTCATTTTAAAATGTGCAAAAAAAATAATGTGTGATATCAATATAATCTAACAAGAATAATATTAATAGAATAGTCTTACCTTTAAATTGTATAGGAGGTAAATTCACTCTAATTTTAGAAATTACAGAGTAAAATGTATTATTCGGTACTTAAAATTTGCCATCTTGTACGTAAGACGGTGACAATAAAAGCCCGTGTGGCGTCCTCAAGGAAATCATACTCTTGCTCTTAAGGAGTTATAAATAGGCAATTTTACTGGCATTAATTCTTAATTTAAAAATAGTTAAAAACATTTACTATCAGAGTAATTTGTTATGACTTTTAGTTATTGTCTAATTCTTTAATTAATTCAGAAAAACAATTTGTGATGGTTTTCATTCTGATTGTAGTCATACTATAAGAAATCAAAACTGTTGTGCATAACAATAAGATTAAAAGAAAACAAATCGGGAACTTGCTATCTTGTATAATACTAGATGTGTCCAGTGTGCCTTGTTACTATTTATGTAATTGATGCGCTATATTCAAATTCGATGGTAAATCGAAGTATACGATTCACCAATTTTAACCAAATGTAACTTATAAGTTACTTACCGACTAACAAGTAATAAATTAATTGAAATTAGTCTAAATATTTTGAAAGTTTTAATTGTGTATAAAAAATACTAATAAACTTAATTGCGAAAAGTTTTAAGACTATAATTAATATATTTTCGCTATGTAAAAAAATGTTGCCTTTCTATATATATATATCATTTTGATATTTTAAAATCGCTCTAAGAAAAACTTCTGAAAAACCTTGTAGGTATACTAAAATGTCAGGATTTTTGTCTGAGAAACGAAAATGTAATTATCATTAATCGAAAAAAAAATTCATTAGGCAATTTCAAGTGCATATAAAAAGCTTTAATATTTGGTGAAAATGTCAAGTTTACGGCTACTCCTTTCCGAATTAATGAAACCAAATATATAAATTAATTAGGTCAAAAACAGCTGTTTTTAATTTTCTGTAAATAATCTCATTTTTCGCGGTTTTTTGTTAGTTTTTCCCAATTGTCAAGAAAATTACTGAGGTTTATCCACTTTCGACCCTTCGAAGTACCAAATAGATCGAATTTATTTTACAAAGCACTTATAATTTTGAAGATTGAAGCAATGTTTCTGGTTTACAAGATTACAAAGTATCATCAGGTAATATAAGCCCATTTAAAAATCAATATACACATATACATAGGGACATTTTTCGATCCGCTCTACAGAATATCAAATTGTCGATAGTCTAACTAAGTTAATTTTTTTCCTATAACAAATAGGTACAGTTATTTATATGTGCGTATGTTACATGTCGAAAGAAATAGTAAAATGTCTTACGTGATGTTGTGAATCAGGAATTAATTAAATCTTATTTGTATCTATGTATTTACCTATTCCGAATTAAATTTACCAAATTAGGTTGACAATTTTAATTGTTTTTTTTTTAAATGCTGTATTTAGGTTTGTATTTTTCTATGTTTTCGTTGTCTTACTATTGATTTTACTTTTTTGAGTTGTAGTATTATACAGTTTAAATAATTTAAGACAATTTACCTATGTATAAAAAGCTATATTTTCGATTCTATATAATATTATCACCTATAATATACATTGTTATTACTTATTATTGACATTGAGAACATTTTGTGCAATAGATATTCCTAACTTATAATTATTCTATTTGATTGTTAAAACGTGTGGGGAATTTTTATGATTTTTTTTTTAAACTTAAATTAAGATGATAATTGAGTTATAATATAATTTCGGTAAAAAAACGTCACCAAATGAAAAAGCTTTTGGATTCTTTTTTGTAAATAATAAGATAATGTAAATTGGATTGTTAAAATTATACACTGTTGGAAACCTTTTTATTTCAATAATATTTAAAAAAAAATTAAAACTAAACGACGTTAAAATCAGTTTAGTAAAATTATTA